TTCTCAGAAGGCGGCGGGGCTTCTCAGAAACCCCCGCTCCTTCTGAGAAGTTGTTTGCACTCTCGGGGAAGGCTCAGAAGACTGCTCAGGAGGCCCAGGGACTCCCGAGCCCTCTGAGAAGCGGGCCCTGAGCGAAGCGGGCCCCGAGGTCTGTCGCTGGCTTCGGGCTCTCGATCGGGGCCCTCCCCAGGCCCCGGGACCCTGAGATGCAACGTTGCGAAAGAATTGCAACATAGAAGATCACGACCGGGCCCCGGACCCCATCTTTCTGCGCCATTTTTCGAGCCGGATATCGATCGATGGGGTCCCGGGGCCCGAAGTTAGGCGACACCGCCCGGCTTGAAAGAATTGAGCCGCCAGGATCTCAGGGGGCTGTCAGTGAAGAGCTGGTCTTGCAGTCGGGGCCCTGAAGAAGGAACCCTTTTCGTTGGGGAGGGGCTCCCCATTCCCTAAGTGTTTCGCAGCTTGCCCCAGGTGTTCCTCATGCTTTCGATCGGAGATATCGAAGTTGAGCTTATGGAGAAAAGGGGCCTCGTTCCTCATTTTGGGCTCCTTAGGTCAAGGCCCCGACTGCAGGGGAAGGCCCCCGGGCCCTCGGGCCCCGAGCCCTCGCAGGGCCGGTCGCCCCCGTGCCTCGAGGCGTCCGCGCGGCTCGCGCCGGGGCGGCCGGGGCGGCGGTGGAGCCAGGCGCCCCGCGGCTATTGTTTTGTCTTACTTCTATTTTTTTGTTCCTATGTTTTTTATGGTGTTCTGTTTTTTATTGTTTTTCGTCGATTTTTTGGCTATTTTTTTTTTTTAGAGTTTTTCATCTGTTTTCCCTTTGTTTTTTTTTTGCTTTTTTTTTCTTTCCCTGTTTTTTCTCTTTTTTTGAGTTTTTTTTCTTGTTTTTTTTTTTTTTTTTTTGTTTTTTTTCCTTTTGTGATGTTTTTTTTCTTTTTTTAACTTCTTGTTTATTTTCCTTTACCTTTCCCTGCGCCCGGTACGTGGCTGGCGCCCGGGGGGGGGGCGGGCTAGCGAGGATGGAGCGAGTGTGGAGGAAGGAGGAGGAGGGGAGGAGGGGAGGAGGAGGAGGAGGAGGAGGAGGAGGAGAGGAGGAGGTAGGAGGAGGAGGAGGAGGAGGAGGAGAGGAGAGAGGAGGAGGAGGAGGAGGAGACGAGGAGGAGGAGGAGGAGGAGGGGCGGAGGAGAGGAGGAGGAGGAGGAGGAGGAGGAGGAGGAGGAGGAGGAGGCGGAGGAGGAGGGAGGAGGCAGTAGGAGGCGGAGGAGGAGGACGGAGGAGGGTAGGGCGGAGGAGGAGGAGGAGGAGAGGAGGAGGAGGAGGAGGTAGGAGGAGGAGGAGGCGGAGGAGGAGGAGGAGGAGGAGGAGGAGAGGAGGAGGAGGCGGAGGAGGAGGGGAGGAGGAGGAGGAGGAGGAGGCGGAGGGGAGGAGGAGGAGGAGGAAGGAGGAGGAAGAGGCGGAGGAGGAGGAGAGGGAGGAGGAGGAGAGGAGGAGAGGAGAGGACGCGAGGAGGAGGGCGAGGAGGAGCGAGGGGGGGGAGCGAGCGAGGCGGAGCGTAGGGGGGGCAGCGAGCGAGGTAGGCGAGGAGGAGGAGGAGGAAGGAGGAGAGGGGAGAGGAGAGGGGGCGGAGGAGGAGGAGGAGGAGGAGGGGAAGCGAGGAGGAGCGAGGGGGGGAGCGAGGAGGAGCGAGGGCTGTTACTCCATACGTCTACTGCAGCCATGTCTCCCGCGCCACGGGGTCACAACATGCGTTCTCGCCCCCGTTGTCGCCCCGGTGTGGGGACCAGAGCGGGCGAGCCCGTTCTACTCGTGGAAGTCAGAAAGGGTACTGTCAGGAACGCTTGCTTAGCGTGTCGCGCTGCAGGTGATGGTCTTGGCACACCGCGCTACAGCGCGACACGCTGACCACGTCCAGGGAGGAGGAGCAGGAGGAGCAGGAGGAGGAGGAGGAGGAGGAGGAGGAGGAGGAGGAGGAGGAGGAGGAGACGGAGGAGACGGAGGAGACGGAGGAAACGGAGGAGACGGAGGAGACGGAGGAGGAGGAGGAGGAGGAGGTGGAGGAGGAGGAGGAAAAGGAGAAGGAGGAGGTGTCCACGTTCCGAGCCTCTCGAATCCTTCCGCCCTATGCGAGTCGCAGCGACACGCTCTCCACATGCAGGGCACAGCGCGTCGCCGGGGCCGCCGCCGCGACACGCTGAGCAGCGTTCCCGACCGTCAGACGGCGCTCTGTGGTCGACGTTCCCAGACCTCCCCGCGTCGTGAAGAAATCGCGACGGGAGTTTCTGTTGCTATTTTCGGCCCCTGGGGGCCCCTACCGGGCCTGCCTTCGGAGGCCCTCGCCAGGCCTCGGGCATCGGGAGCGTGACAAGACGACTCGGGATGCAAAGCCGGCCCCGGGGAAGAGGTCCAGCCCTTTGGGGGACGCCGCTGTGCAAAAATCACGACGTCGGGGGCCTGGGGTCGACGTTGCGGTGCGCACCGAGCGCGAGGGAGCGGAGCGCCGCTTTCGGCTCGGCGCCGCGACGGCTGCCCGCCGAGCCCTCATCGGGGGCGAGGTCTGGCGGAGCTCACGCCACAGCGAGCGGCGACTCCGATCGGCGGCCCCGGAGGGCATTCTGTGAGGTGTCAGGCATGCCCAGACATGATCGCGTCGTTAAAACTCAGGACGGGCGTTTTTTCCTTAGTTTCGGCCCCTGGGGGCACTCGCCGTTCCCCGGGAGCGTCAAAAACGAGTCAGGATGAAAACTCGGCCCCGGGGAAAGGGTCTGGTTTTCCGGGGACGCTGTCCTGAACAAAATCAGGACGTCGCATGTCTGGGGGGTGGAAGGCGTGGGCGGCGATCTGTGGGGCATTCCGGCAGCCGTTGTGAGCCGTGCCCTTGCAGTCAGATTTCTGAGGCTTGGGCTGGGCTCCAGATCCCGAAGGGCGTCTGTAGCCGGGAGTCGGTACGGTCGAAATGGGTACGGAAAGAACGGGGACGAAGATTGACAGCAGTCCCTCGGCGTCACCCCAACATGCTTATACTACATGTTCGTCGCCCCCCCAGGGGCGGCGCGCGCACCGAGAAATCTTATAGTATACACGTCGTGGCGGGCGCTTTCTGGCCCCACCGCTCGAGAGACGATACACTGCAAGATGGGTATACTACATGTTCGGCCTGGGCGCGCGCCTCCAAGGAAGACACATAGTATTAGCATGTCTCTGTTCAGGAGAGGAAAATTATGCTAACGGAGTTCCCCACATAAAGAGATTAACGGTTTCGTGGGACCCATTTTCTTGATGCCCTCCTCGCTCAGGCGGGGCCTCCCTGCAGGGGTGGGAGGGGCACGAAACCATGTAAATAGTATGGTATTCCGATACCCTCCTCGCTCAGGCGGGGCCTCCCTGGAGGGGTGGAAGGGGCACGAATAAAACCATGTAAAAATAGTATGAGTTTCGGAACTTACCCTCCTCGCTCAGGCTGGGCCTCTGGAGGTTGTGGGGGGGGCACGAAACCATGTAAAAGAGTTCTATGGTTTTTCCGCTACCCTCCTCGCTCAGGCGGGGCCTCCTGGAGATAGTGGGAGGCGGCACGAAACCATGATAAATTAGTATGGGGTTTTCGGGACCACCCTCCTCGCCTCAGGCGTGGCCTCCCTGGAGCGCGGTGGGAGGGGCACGAACCATGTAAAATAGTACGACTATGGTTTTCGATAACCTCTCGCTCAGGCGGGGCCTCATGGAGGGGTGGGAGGGGCACGAAACCATGTAAATAGTATGGTGTTCCGATGCCCTCCTCGCTCAGGCGGTGCCTCCCTGGAGGGGTGGGAGGGGCACGAAACCATGTAAATAGTATGGTATTCCGATACCCTCCTCGCTCAGGCGTGGCCTCCCTGGAGGGATGGGAGGGGCACGAAACCATGTAAATAGTATGGTATTCCGATACCCTCCTCGCTCAGGCGGGGCCTCCCTGGAGGGGTGGGAGGGGCACGAAACCATATAAATAGTATGGTTTTCCGATACCCTCCTCGCTCAGGCGGGGCCTCCCTGGAGGGGTGGGAGGGGCACGAAACCATGTAAGTAGTATGGTTTTCGGATACCCTCTCGCTCAGGCGGGGCCTCCCTGGAGGGGTGGGAGGGGCACGAAACCATGTAAATAGTATGGTTTTCCGATACCCTCCTCGCTCAGGCGGGGCCTCCCTGGAGGGGTGGGAGGGGCACGAAACCATGTAAATAGTATGGTTTTCCGATACCCTCCTCGCTCAGGCGGGGCCTCCCTGGAGAGGTGGGAGGGGCACGAAACCATGTAAATAGTATGGTTTTCGGAGACCCTCCTCGCTCAGGCGGGGCCTCCCTGGAGGTGTGAGAGGGGCACGAAACCATGTAAATAGTATGGTTTTCGGATACCCTTCTCGCTCAGGCGGGGCCTCCCTGGAAGGGTGGGAGGGGCACGAAACCATGTAAATAGTATGGTTTTCCGATACCCTCCTCGTAGGTATGGTATGGTACGGTATGGTATGATAGGGTATGGTATGGTACTGGAGGTATGGTATGGTATGGTACGGTGTGGCATTGGTGTGATATGGTATGGTATGCTATGGTACGCCATGGTATGGTATGGTACGGTATGGTACGTATGGTGTGGTATGGTATGGTATGGTATGGTATGGTATGGTATGTGTGATAGGAACTATGGTATGCTATGGTGTGTGTGTGTGGTAGGAATAATATTGTGCTGTATGGAAGATGGAGCGGGAGGTGGGTGGGAAGGAGAGGGTGTTCTGGGAAAACAAGAACCCCACTCAGGATGTGGGGAAAAACATACAGACACAATTAATCCTCGAGTCCCCCGAAAATATGGAAAAATATGGGAAGTGGGGGGAAGACAGAAACCCAGAAGATATAGGAAAATATGGGCAACATTCTTATTTGTGTGTATTTATTTGCGTGTGTCCTGGGGCCCCTTCATCTGTGCGTCCCAGTCCCTGTCCATTTTGAAAAAGGGCGCGCTGTCGGTGCCTCCGCGGGCCCTGCCGCTGTCGGTTTCGGACCACATAATAGGTTGTGGGGCATCGTGCCAACGTTTTCCGTGCCCGCTTCGGGCGTCCACAGGGTGGGCCCCGGCGGGGGTGCCTTCTCACCCCTGCGCCGCTCGGACCCGCAGCGGGGAGGAGGAGGTGGAGGAGGAGGAGGAGGAGGAGGGAGGTGGTGGAGAGGAGGAGAGACCGGAGGAGGAGGAGGAGGAGGAGGAGGAGGAGGAGGAGTAGAGGAGGAGGAGGAGGAGGAGGAGGAGGGAGGAGGAGGAGGAGGAGGAGGAGGAGGAGGAGGAGGGAGGAGGAGAGGAGGAGGAGGAGGAGGGAGGAGGATGAGGAGGAGGAGGACGTGAGGAGGAGAGGAGGAGGGAGGAGGAGGAGGAGGAGGAGGAGCGAGGGAGGAGGAGGAGGAGGAGGAGGAGGAGGGAGGAGGAGGAGGAGTGAGGAGGGAGGAGGAGGAGGAGGAGGAGGAGGAGGAGGAGGAGGAGAGGAGGAAGGAGGGGAGAGGAGGAGGAGGAGAAGGAGGAGAAAGCCCGCCGCGGCAGCTATGACAGCCCGGCGCCCGCGCGGGGCCTCCTCCCTGCTCCCTGGCCACTGTAGGCTTCGGTTGGGGCACTCGCCGCGTGTGGATTTCCGAAGGTGGGGGGCCACCATGCCGTGGGCGGGGGGTCCTGACCC